TCCCTAGGAATTACAGGCTTTTATTGCCTTTGGATAGCAAGATATGGTGAGACACCAAGACCCTTCTATTAGCTTATAAAGGAAGCCCAAAAGGCAGATACACATATTTTAACCTGGAAGCCTGAGTCCCAGGCTGCATTCCAGAAGCTCACACAAGCGCTTCTAAGTGCCCGGCACTGAGCCTGCAGAGAGGCAGGGGATGAAAGGCATGGGATGGCTTTGGGAGTGCTTATGCAGGATCAAGGACCTGCTCGACAGCCTGTAGGGTATCTGAGTCATGAATTAGAGACTGTCCCACAGGGATGGCCTGTGTGCCTTAGAGCTGTGGCTTTCAAAGCTCTCTTGGTACAGGAGACATCCAAGCTGACTTTATTTTGGGGGGGGGTTGGGGTTTTTTTGGTACTGGGGATCAAACTCGGGACCTTGCGCTGGTGAGGCAGGCGGCGGCACCACTGAGCTAAATCCCCAGCCCCCAAGCTGACTTTAGACAAAGACATCAATGGTCTAGAAGTATGTTTCACTGGTATTATTATTTGGCTTCTACCTTCATCCTTTCCCTAGTATTAGAAGATGTCATGCAACATACCCAGGCCTTGACTAACTATATTTATACTCAACGGGCCTTAAACGACACTGTCTCTCTCTCCTAAAGGAAGAAGTAAAATTAATGAGGCAAGCTGTCCTCCAAAATCAGATGGCATTAGACATTCTAACAGCAGCACAGAGGGTACTTCTACAATAGTAAAAGCTGAATGTTCTGTGTACATTCCCGATCCTCTGCTAATATCTCAATGGCTGGTCAAGATATTAAATGACAGGGCCGGGGATTTAGCTCAGTCGTTCTGTCGCCTGCATTACCAGTGAAAGGTCCTGAGTTCAATTCCCAGTACTAATGAAAAAAAAAAGATACTAAGTGACAGGTTAATGCCGTGTTGGATTCTGAAATTCCCAGGACCTTCTTCCTATCCTCTTTGCGGGAGGCTACTACTGGCTCTTTTTGTTGGTTGTATTCATAATAATCTGGTTGATCTTACTATTTGGCCCGTGCATACTAAACTGTCTCTTTGACCTTGTTTCCTCCAGACTTAAAGCTATGTGCCTACCCAAGATGGGAACACCCGGTATCTATCGAGGGAGGGTCTTTGGATAAACCATCTGTAGAGTATCTCTGACTGCCAATCACAACAACAACCCCCTTCAGCCATAAGCAATCAGAAATGTCATCGCCCTTTGCCCCTCACTGCAGGTAGGGATATCTCTTCAGAGGGGAGAGTATTATAAACAGCTAAGTTAGACAGAAATATTCTAGGCAGTCAGACAGGGTTAGGCCCTCAAAGAAGTCAGTGCAGAAGATAAGAACACATTACAACTAGGACTAGAGGTAGAGGCACATTTGTTGAAGACCAAGCCTCAAGATAAAGATGGAATAACTACGCCTACATTCTTCCCCAATGGATGAAACAATAATGACTGATATTCTAAAGAGGCATCAGTCACCTTGGGTGGGGGACCAAGAACTCCTGGCTCATCCCTTCCAAGAAAAGCCCTTGCACACTCTCCATGCACCCTTGCTACATGACTTGCTTCCCCACTGGATCAATATTACCTAAGCAACTATACTTGTAATCTTGTTGGTTGACCATAGTTTTGTCCCATCTTATGCCCACCTTGTGATTTTGTGCCCACTTCGTGATTTTGCTCTATAAAATTTCCTTGAGAAGTGGGTTCTAGGCAATCCACTTTCCAGGCTCCCTCCTGTCCCTCTCAGGCAGGAGCTGTCTAGCCCTCAATACATATTTCCTTAACCTCCGTTGTTCCTAGAACTCATTCTTTGATTTTAGAGACTAGGAACTTGGTGTATCAGACCTCTAGCAGGTTGGGAGTTACATCTATTTCCTTCCTCTGTATCATCCCTGTATCATAATGGCATCAGGAATTGGGGATTTAGGGAGGCGATCAGGTTGTGGGGGGAGCCACATGAATGAGATTAGTGACCTCGTAAGAAAAGGACCCTCTCTCACTCCCCACCTCCCCCTCCATCTGCTGGCCATCTGCTACCCGACTGCAACTGGATCTGCAGACACCCTTGCCTTGGACTTCCAGGCTCCACCGCCACGAAAACCAAATTCCTACTGTTTAAGGAATCAGCCTATGGCATGACTGCTGCAGCATCCTAGCTGACTAAGACAGATCCAGATGAGACCCAGCCTCTTCTAGTGACAGAGACCCTACTACCCGAAGGAGCCCACTCAGTTCACTAAGAGCGTCTTCATACTTCCCATGTTGGGTTAAAGTCTCTTCCTCCATAGCTGCTACTCAATGATCTTCACTGAGGAAAAGAACAAGCTGACTCCTTTTTCCCTAGCATATCTAAGAAGCCTTCCCTTCTCATCCACACTTCTCCTCCGGGTTAAAACATCCCTTCGATGCCTTCCCCTCTGATCTTCCATTCTAAAGACAGCATTGCTAAGTGTGCTCCCTCGGGACACACCCCACATTAAATGTGCTGCCCACATGTGAAACGAGTTCTGGTCGAGCTGGAGAAGAAAGAGCCGCATGCCTACCCTAAACACTGCTTGTATCAATGTAATCCCCAGCCAAACCGGTCACAGGCAGGCCAAGCTCACACTGATCTTTGTCTCCGCCCAAACCCTGGTTCTTTCTGAGATGATCCGTTAATATAATAGACAAATATGCTCAGTCTTTTAGAACCAGAATTCAAGGCTGTATGTTTATCCTGTATTTAATTTCTCATGGTTGGTTTCTGTTAAATAACTGAATTACCAGAAATTTTAAATCCAGGTGTATTATGTGACCCTCCCAATCCTAAGAAAACCACCGAGTATAATTTCCACATCTTCATCAAAGTTGCTGATTAAGAAAGCAACCATGAGGATACTGATCCTTGGAAGCAGATATTCAGCCACAACCCACCTAACTATATAACAACCTAACCCAGATTTCCCCATCTTGGCTCTAAGAAACTGGGAAATCCTATGCAGGAGTCCAGCAAACTAGCTCAATGACTCCATCAGCCTCGCTGCAAAATGTTCATTGGTTTGACAATAGTGTTCATAATGAGCCCGTGTGGACTGTTTTCTTTTCTAAGAATTTTAAATTATTTGGGCACAAATTGATTGGAATTCTGCTCTGAAGAACCAGCCGGCTCAGCAGCCTGTACCTTCCTGCGATCAGCCCCCTTGTCTTCGGAGGGACCCCCTATCTGCACTTGACCACACTTGCTTCTTGGGTGCTCTCAGTGAGCTGTCACCTAAGAGAAGCCCCGAGAGCGGGGAGCGGGCTACTGCTAAGCACTGTGCGGCTCTCTCACTGTCTGGCTAGCACCTCTGTCTTCATTACCATTGTTCCTCCCTTCTAGCTTGACATTTGCCCCCCTGAAAAAAGAAACAGACTGAACCTGTAAGAGTTATAGTGTGCCTTGTGGATTTGTGGTCCTCATTCTGAAGGCGGGGGAAAAAGACAATTCTCTCAACCTTCATTCTTTTTCACGTTTGGTCTTCTTGATGCTCCTTTAACAGCCCCGTGGCCCTGGGACATGTGTTCCTCCTTTTATCTACCATGCAGGCCTTTTTAAGTTTTATTTTTTAATAAAAGACTAGCCCACGCTTATTGTTTTAAGTAAATGTGTAATATCTAGAGGATCAAATAAAAGCACCACTTCCAGTTTCAATTCCATGTCCCAGCCTGGGCAAAGAATCCACCTCCCACAAGTGAAGCGACAGAGCACCCTGCCGGACCTTACGCTTTTGTCCGCCTCTTCTTCTTCCTCCTTCGCTGAGTTCTCGTCTGGTGTTTCATGATTCTGTCACTAGAGTGGGAGCCTCTAGTCTCCTGAGTCATTACACCGCTAACAGACCCAGGCTCTCTGGACACTCAGGAAATGTTTGAGCGAAAGTCACTCAAGCTTCTTAGACCTTAAAAGTGTTCTCTTCTACCATGTAACCTTCTGTGCCTACAACAGCAAAATCCTTTGGCCTTCAACACTAAATTCTTACAAACACCAAGTGCTTTCCTTGATTGCCAAGAGCTCAGGAACTGAAGTAGAAAGGAAAAAATTGTTATTCAGCTTGCTTCCCTGTTTTAGCCATCTGGCTCTCAAGGCAGGAAAATCATCTGGTAATATCACTGCAAAAACATACGCGCTGAGGTTTTGAGGCACAATGAATTATTCCCAGTTCTTATGCCCAGGTTCCATTTACGCATCCCTTTCTTTATGAACTCAGTCATTTATTCAAACCTTTCATGCCTGGGGCACAAGGGTTCAAGCAAAAGGCACCATTCTTTCCTGCAAGATAACAGTCTAACAGAAAAACAAAGAGAACCAAAATCAAAAAAACAAAAGAAAACAAAAAACCAAAGAGACTCAGTATGATGCCATGTATTCAAAGCCACAGAAGACATTTGCATTCATAGTGAGAATACCTGTGTTGGGGAAAAAATACTCACGTCCTGAAGATCTCACCGGAAGTTGAGTTTTAAAGGACAGGAAGGAGGCCTGAGAAGAAGGGTTGGAGCAAAGGACTCTGGGAAGCCAATGGCTAGAAAACTCCGCCGTTCCACTGGGAACTGCTCCAAAAGACAGCCTATCTGTGTCACTACTTCCAAGTCTGTGTCTTTTTCCTCTCATTTTTATCCAGACATTAATATAAGAAAAATAAATGTGCTACTACCTTTATACCAATTTTACACGAAACTCGATGCATTATTACCTGAGCACTCACAGCTCTTATTTCTACCTCTTTTTTAATACTTAGCACATTTCAGAGTTCCCACATTACACCCTGGCTTCTCCCACCAGTACTCAAGCTTTAAAAAGCCAAAAATAAGACATTTCCCCTCCTTCTCCATCCCTCAAATTACCTGACTCCTGAGGAGGCCTCAGTAGGGGGTGTGAGCTCCAGTGTCACCCGCCCGCCCGCCGCTCACCACAGAGCGTCTGTACTTCACCACCCTTCTCCCCGGAGGACATGGCCACTCACCAAGCAGTGGACCACACAGACGTTTTTGGGGTTCTGCAGCAGCCAGTTGTACATATTCCGACACACAGCGAAAAGGTTGTGCAGGCTGGGGGCCTGCCTGAGGGGCCAGCTGCACTCTGAGACCTGAGGGGACACAGCGAAAGGAAGTGAGTCCCTCCAGCAACTTCCTGCCAGCACGCAGGTCTCCCGGAAGCGACCGGGCCTGGCCTTCCCAAACAGCCAAGCCGAGCTGGGAACAGGGCCTACATGCAGAAGGAAAAGGCGTTTAATTAATATGGTGATTTTTAAATTAATCTTGTTTCCGTAAAGGTATAAAAGTACAATTAGAAAAATATTTTAAATTGAACTAGACCGTTTTTACCCCACATGTGGATTTTTTCTATCCTTACGTGACACAGAATTTAATTAAGTAAAATGTTTTACCTGCCCAGTAGATGCTTAACTCTAGGGTCATCACAGAAATCCTGCGCTGTCCCTAACTCTATCTCCGCTCTTACGATGACACGGAAAGCGCTGTAGAGGGAGCCGGGGCAGATTTAGGCACGGGTCTCATTTTGCTCTCTGAATAAAGGGGCCCAGATCTCCACAGGGGAAATCTTTTACAGCTTTACTTACTCGGCACTCTTACTCACTTGGCGTGGGAGAGCGTTCCTGCTGCGCCCCAGTAGCGCTGCTTCCCCTGCTCCGCCCGGCAGGCAGGTGAGACAGTATCAAGAGGACCCCAGGTGGAAGGCGAGGGAACCGAGTCTCAGGCCGAGCTGTCCAGAGCCACACTGCTGCCCGGGTCCGCACACAGAAATCACCGGGCCTCGGGAGCATCCGGGAGGAGGCCAACCCCTCGGTACTGGGCGGGAGCCCCAACACATAAGATACTTACTAATCTAGCTAATAAACGGAGTTGGGAAACTTCACAACACCCTTACACCCTCCTTCCTTCATAAAATGTGGCGCAGGGTGCGTGACTATGGACATTACAGGAGAATGCACTTCCAGGCTCAGCTCGGTAGCCGACACATGAAAGTGGTCAATAGCTCTGAATCACTAGTGTTGTTGTTATTATTATGTTATCAGGTAGCTGCCAGTGCGAAGCTCTGAGGTCAGTCAGATCTGTCTCTGTTTGTACAAGAAATGAACGAGCGTAGACGGAAGGGCCGCATCGCTGCAGGCCTCCTGAGAAAGGTGGGAGAAGGCTCTGGGTGGAAAGGGCTCTCAGGGCTCACCTTCCAAGGCCTCTCAGGCTCACAAAGCAGGGTGGCCGGTGGAAGGCGGGCGAGGAGCTGAAGGAAGGGATGGCAGAGGTCAGGCCACCGAGCGACGGGGTAGACATGGGTCAGGGGCTCAGGGGACCGGAGGCGGAAGACCTGTGCACGGGAGGCTCACAGGGTGGTACCCCGGATGGTAGGCGGTGGTAGGGAGGTGTGTGGACCGGGACTTGAGCGTGGAGACGGGCATTTAAGTCGGCACCCGCACTTCTGGCACGCACGGCCGGGCCTCGCGCGTCCGGAGAGGAATCTCACAAAGCGGGTTCTACAAAGGCGGTGCCACCGGGGGCGCCCGCGGCGGGAGCACCGGCAGCCTGGGTGAGCTCGGGCTCCTCGCAGGCCGGGCCTCCCCAGGCCAGGGAGAATTAACCCAAACGCTCAGGCCCGCGAGGCAGGCTCGGCTCCGCCCGGGTGCACGCGCCCACTCTGGGTTAACTATACCTTTCCTATGGCTTAGGGTGGTGGCAGAGGACTTCCCGGGTCCATGTGCCTGTGGCGGTACCGGGCGTCTATGAAATGGGGCCCCCAGGGTGACCCAGCTCTGGGCTAACTTAAGCCCCATTGATGTGTACATTCCCCGTTATGCGTTCTTCGGGAATGGAAGTCCCTTGCTGCCTGAAAAGGGGAAGATGTGTTCTGCTATCAGAATTACAAAATGTCCATCAGCACAAGCTGCTTCCTGCCAGTTGAGCAGGTTGTGATGGATTGGATGGCGGGGCGCTAACTTACACCAGTGGATTAATCCAGAGCTGAGTGGGCCCTCAGGAGCTGGGCCCCAGTGGCCAGCGATGCTGTGGTTGAGCCTTTGGAGGGTGGGGTGGGAGCTCTTCCCTGTCCTCTGAGTCCCCGCTGCCATGCACTAAGCAGCTGTGCTCCACCATGCTGTTTCTCCTAACCACGGACTGAACTTTCTGACACTGTGAGTCAAAATAAACCACTCCTTCTCTAAGTGGTGGGTGTCAGGTATCTTGTACCAGCAACAGGAAAGCTGACTCATATACCTGGCAAACTTCTACTAACCCTTCAAAACCCAAGTTCAAGTGTCCTCTTATCTCTGACGACCGTCATCTTTGTACTCATCTCTTTATCTACTTTCATCTTTCATAGCTTTTGGCCGTACAGCAACAAGCTTCAGGCCGCAGGCTGGGTTTTCACATCGGATTCATCACTTATTCCTGTACTATCTTCTCCAGGCCTTGGATCTCTTGTGCGTAAAGTACAGTGAGTATTGCAAGGTTGTGAGAATTAAGTAGTGTAGTCCAGCACGTATACAGAAGCACTGGCTTACAGTCAAGCTGTACTGAGTGGGTGGTTTCTATCTCCCTGAGTTCCATGAGAAGGGAGATAATAACTTCTTCATTCTTGGAATCTCAGGGCCCACCTGTCATGCATATGACAAGTGCTCTGCAGGTGTTTGCTGAGTGACTGAATGAGCGAAAGAATAAAGGAAGGCTGAGGCGGGAGGATCACTGCAAGTTGAAGACCAACCTGGGCTACACAGTGAGACCCTATCTCAAAAAGCAAAAAAAGAATAAAGTAATGGACCCCGTTTGGCAATCTCTTTTTACAATAAAATTTGTCTACATGTACACCATCTTAAAGAAGAAACAGGTGAATCCATTTGCTGGGGTTTTTAGATTACACCAAAGTAAATGTATAGGAAATCTGTTTTCCTAGGCAATGTTTGAAAGGTTTTAAAAACAATGTGCTACTCAGCCACCCTCCAAATGTCAGTGTCTATACTGAGTCTCAGCTAAAACTTGGCTAGATTATTCTCAGCACAATAGGCTAATAGCTCCAGAATCCTTCACTCCATCAAGTAAATAATATTAATTTAAATACTCCATAATTATATATTTAATTGATATGTAATTATGCACCATGAGGAAAACATATAATTAGAACTTTTTAAAAGTATGTGCTCTGTCAGGAGGAGGAAAAACATGAAGGCACGAACAGAGCCCCAAAGTGGCTTCGAGGAACCACTCACGCCAACTTGTTTTTGTAGGTCAACCCCTACGCTGACCTCATGAGCCACATGCCAGGAGCAGCTAAGCACCAATCGATCGGAGGCCTAGCCTAGGGGACAGCTCAGTCAGCCAGGCTGTGGTCCTGCCAGCATCTGACCTCCTCGTGCAGACCCAATCCGTACCCCTAGCCGCCCTGTAAGGACTGCGTGGACAGGACAGTCCAGGGTCTGGAGTTTTCGGCTTCCTGTGTCTCCCGGCAGTGGCTTGGAGGGTGCCTCTAAAGGGGAAAAAGACCTTGTGGTGTCTTAGCAACACAATTCCAGAGCTGGAATTCTTACCCGGCTGTGAAACTTGGCCGTCCGGTAAGACTTGGGTGACAGGTTGTAGACTGTGTAGTGGTCGAGATGTCTGGAATCCAAAAAACTTCGGATGTCGTCCACCTGATTCCTGAATCCTATGTCGACACTGTCCACGGGAAAGGACATGACTGCAAGAAAGGGAACAGGTGAGGCAGGGCTGCTGTTTCCATGAGCCGCATTTAGAAACTGGGCCAAAGAGAAGTTAATAACCACGAGAAACTTACCAATAATTCTGGAGGTAACGTAAGTGAAGTCTAAATCTCCCTTCGTGTAGCTGAAAGAGAGGCAGGCAAGGACGCTGGTTAAGATGGTCCACACCAGGACTTCCCCGCGATCTCTAGCACACCGACTCCGCAGCGAGTCTGACTTCCCTCCCTACTCTGTCCACTGGAGACACCTCAGAGCAGCCCTGAGAGAAGACAGCCACACCCAGGGCACAGCTGCCGCCTCTGGCTCCAGTAGCCTCCCGGGGCTGCTTTCTAAACAGAGGAGTCTGGGAACAGAATCTCTGCTAAGTGATTAACACTGGCTGTTCCAGCCTCTCTGCCTACATGGAAATCTCTTCCCTGAAGGGCAAGAGAAAAAACAACTGAGAACAAAACAAATGACACTTTTTCTGCCTACCAAGGTCCTGGTTAGGAATTGCAGGAAAGGGGGTAATGTTGCCTTGAAGCCAATATGAAAATGTTGGTGAACATATTGAACTTGACATTTGAATTTCTGATTCCAAGCCATATATTCAAACATAAAGTAACCCTAGAGTTCTGTCACATTATTTTTTTGCAAGAATTTGCATACAGCAGAAGAATGAAAAAGTAAAAGTAAACTTCTCCCACTAAGTAAGCCGTAAACGACCAGCAAGGTACACTAAGTGCTGTTTCGATGACAGTCCAGGGCCACTGCTCACTCAGACATGCTGTGCATTACTTCACTCAGTCCTCATGCCACACATCCACTCCTATCAGTGCCTAAAGGTAAAGCTGGAGAACTGATTAGGGCACCTGCAGCCCCATGGGAGCCAGTGCAGACCCTGCACTGGAACCCAGGACTTTGATTCTGGGCCCACGGTGACAGCAGCAGCCATCACACCAAAGTGCCAGGGAGCTGAGCTCCCCAGGCCCTGCTGCAGCCCCTCGGGACTCTCAGCTGCAGTGACAGCCCCAGCACGTCAGATGCAAGCGGCTCTAGCACGGCCGTGACACTGACCCAAGCAGGCGCCAGGCCGAGAGCCTGGCAGCATGCTCACCTGGATACAGACTGTATCACTCGGGAAGAGGTGTCCTTCAGGGTGTCTTTCAAGTTGTCCTTTAGGTTACTGAAGAGCCTCCCCGCGCCTCCCTTCACCATGTCAAAAAGGCCTCCCCCATAACTGGGCTCCATGTCGGGGGATGAGGCACCTGCGGGGAGACAGAAAGGGGGGATGCACTGGTGACAGAGACCCCATCCTGCTTGGCTCCTAGCGCTTGCAGAGTCCTGTCCGCTCTCCGGACTCATCCACTGGCAACAGCAGTGCTGCCGGCCCTCGGGAATCCAGGGGTCCCTCGAGACAGGAACAAACACCCCACAGCCACGGGTGGCCACCAGGCACCTGGAACACACGAGTCCTCCCTGAGACCCGCTGCAAGGGTAAAACACAGCAAATTCCAAGGGCTTGGTGCTGAAAGGAAGATTAAACTAGCCCGTTAATATCTTTACATGGATCACATGTTCAAATGACAGTACAGCGGACCCTTGCCTTATGAACTCAGTCCGTTCCCAAGGGCTGGTTGTAACTCAGGTTGGTCAGTGGAGGCTCAGGCTCACCTACACAGCCTTCAGAGTCTCTCTCCTGCGCACAGGCAGATCTCAGGGTCCTCAGGGAGACACTGGCCCGGGATTTCCCAGTGAGCCCCACACAGGAGATGCTGTCCTGTTCCTTCCTGACTCTTTAAGGGTTAAGTCTGCATGTGAGACCATCTGGAAGCACAAGCAGCCGGCATTCGGGTCATAACTGAAGACTTCGGTTATAAGTTAAAACTAACATTCCAGTCATAACCCAAGTTGTTCGTACGTCAGGCCAGTTGTAACTGGAAGGTCCACTGTATTTTAGATCTGTCGAATTTCAGATCTGTTGATGTATTCAATATATTGAATGATAGTATTTTGGATCTATTGACTACATGTTGAAATGAGAGATTTCAGATCTATTGAATTAAAGAAATTATACTGCTCGGAGAGCTTCATTGATCCTTTTAGTGGTTTGCTTCTTCGGGTCTTACTTGTTATTGGTGCGTGTCTGCAGTGCGTCATGGCTGCCTCCCTTGCGTGAAGCTGGCGCACGTACAGAGCACATTTTCATTCTTTTTTATCCCTATCCTCTCCCTCCCCACTCCCTCTCTCTCTCTCTTTTTTTTTTTGTACCTGGGATCAAACTCGGGACCTTGAGCTTGCGAGGCAGGCGACGGCACCACTGAGCTCCATCCCCGGCCCCCTCTCTGCATCTCTTGATCTTCCTTTTTGCAAAAGATCTGTCTCCCTATTTCCTATTGTCTATCTTTTATTTTATTCTTTATTTATACTTTGGGTTTCTTGAATCCAAATATCAGAGAAACCATGTGATGTTTAAGATCCTGTGTCTGATTTACTTCACTTAACATTATGGTCTCGAGGTGCACCCATATTCCTACAAGTGACTCAGTTTATCTTTCTTTGTGGCAGAGCAGTGGCCCCCTGTGCATAAATACCAATTTCCTTTATCCATTCATCTGTTGATGGACACACAGGCTGCTTCCAAGATTGAGCTATTGTGAGTTGTGCTGCTGTAAACGTGGGCGTGCGTGGATCCCTGCAACGTGACGTCTAACTCTTTATACTTAGAAAGGAAGAGCTGGGTGGAGTGTTATTTCTAGTTTTAGCTTTCTGGGGACTCTCCACACTGATTTCCACGGAGTTGTCCCAGTTTATACTCCCTCCCACCAACAATGTAGACAGGTTTCTCTTTCCCCGAGGCCTTGCACAGCAGAGGAAACAACCAACAGCGTGAAGAGACAACCTACAGAACGGGAAAACATTTTTACCAGCTACGCCTCGACAGAGCACTAATATTTAGGAAATGTAAAGAACTAAAAAAATTAGGCTCCCCAGAATAAAAGACCCAGTCTAAAAGTGGGCAAATGGTGCGAGCAGACACTTCTCGGGGGGAAGAAGTACAAATGGGCCTTTCGCTCTCGCAAGGTGGGAACCGGAGCTTCTGTGTGACCAGTGCGGCCTGCACCTGAGGACTCCACGCTGCTCCAGAGAGGAGCAGCCCAGCTCAGGGCCCAGGGCCTCCGTCTTTGGTGGCACTGACAGACCTGTCCCCTGGCTGGCCCTCCCAGCAACAGTTCGCATCCATCACAAGATACATTTCCGAGCGGCGGGTGGGCGCTCTGGGCCTGCGGGCGTGGGCTGCCCACGGGTGTAACTCGCCGGATCATGCAGGTTCTCTTCCCTGCAGCCTCACACTATGGTGCTTCCTGGCTCCTCACCGTGAGCTCTCGTCCAGGGACTGTCAACCTCAGCACAATTGGTATTTGAGGCCAAGTACTTCTCTGCAGGGAAAGGGGGTCCCCTGCAGCGTAGGGTGTGTGTGGTCTCCCTGGCACTGAGGGTTCAGTACTCTCTAGGGTTTCAGGCATCCACTGGGAGTCTGGGAACACACTCCCCGAAGATAAGGGGGCCTGTTACAGGCCCTTTTGTGATTCCCTGGTACTGAGGAAACGGATGCCTTTTAAATCACATTTCACACGCCTACTCAGTCCTCTGCGCCATTGGGATGCCCATCCACACGCCAGGAAGTGCACATTGCCTGCCAAGGGTTTGCATCCTGACCACTGAGCTGCTCCTCCCACGGCGGCTATGTGGGAGTGAGGCACTATGGGAAGTCCCAAAGGATGATGGGTGCGGGGGAATAATCAACATCACGATGTTTGCTGCACAGGGGCCTCTGCTCTCTGCTCCAACCACACCAGTGTTTGTTCTCCCAGCTTCATAGGTGCAGCAATGGAGGCTCGGAGAAGGGAGACACTCATCTGCCAGCTCAGCCAAGAGGCTGATCAGCCAGCCATCAAAACCCAGGTCTGCACGACCCCAAAGCTGAGGCGAATCCACCACCTCCAGCTGCACCGGGTCAGTCCCACCCTGTCCTGCCTTGTTCACAGCCACTGCTCCCTGGGCCATCCTCTCCTCCCTCTCCACTCATGCCCTTCCCCAGCTGCTCCGGGCCGAAGCTGTCCCCACAAGCAGCACCCAGCTAAGTCCCTGGTCTGTCGGGCAGCCAGGCCCACACCACCATGCAGGCAGCTGGGCCTCGGCCGCCCTCCACTCCAGCGGGATATTCCACAGCCCAGAACTCACGCTGCAAGAAGGAAAAATGTCTCTTGTCCTACTCCTCTGCGAAAGAGGGCATGGGGTCCCCTTCACACGCACCCATTAAACATCTGCTGCTCTCATTTTGAACACAGCGATCTCGGCGCAGCGTAAACACTCGTAATTCCCCCATCTGCACGCCAAGTCGCCACCTCGGCCTCTGAGGCCTCACTGCTCTGAGGGGACACAGACTGAGATCCCAGCACCCCTCAGACCCTACTGCACGCCGGGACTCAGAGGCGCCCGCCTGCGCAGGGCATGGACGTCCTTCACCATCTGGAACTCAGACTCTGCTGCACTCTGCTCCAGGCTCAGTTCTCAGGGCCTCCGGATGTGGGAACCAGCAGAACCTGCCAGGGCCCATCTGTGACCCCAGACGCCGACCTGATGTCACCTTTGCCAGGACACCAAAAGGGAAGAAGGGCACTGCAAGACTTTGCTCTGACGGTTCTTAGATGGGTGTCTGGCTTTCCCTGCTGAGCTACCAAGTGTCTAAAGCCCAGATTCTGCAAAGATTCTGAGCCTGTGCCGGCTGTGTACAGATGCCCCCAAAGCCTCATGCAGGCACGGTGTGCTCTTCAGAGAGACTGGGTCTAGAGCGCGTGGTGCTGGGAGCAAGGGTGTGTGATGACTAAATCAGTCCACTGATTGGTTGGGCACAGCTCTGGCTAGGATTAAGGCTGTGAGTGCTACATCCACCCTAGCACAGGTGGCCTGAATAAAATATAAGGGACAGAAAGAGGGCTGATGTGCTCCCACCTGCCTGCTTGCCATGGACTGTTTCTCCTCTGTGACGCCCCTCTGCCCCAGAGCCAGCCGACTACGGACTGAAACCTCTACAACTGTGAGCCAAATAAACGTCTCCTCCTTTAACTCTGGGTGTTGGGTATTTTGTCTGAGCAACTAGAAAAGTAACAAAGTCAGCACCTCAGCCTCTGCCAACTGGGAGAAAAGGCAGAGAGGCTTCAAAAACAGACTCAACAGAGGGGAAGGGAGAAAGTGACACCAGAAGGAAACAGCAACCACAGATACCAGGGTCTGACAAACTATGATGAGTGCATCCAATCCACTCCACTCCACTGCCTGCTTCTTTATAGTCTGCGAATAACAGTGGCTTTTATATTTTTGAATGATTGAAAAAGTCAAAAGAACAATGTTTCATAACATGTGATAATTAAGCTCAAGTTCAATGTCTGGAAGCAAAGGTTTATTAGGTACAGCAGTGGGGATGCGTTTGGGTTCCATAGGTTGGATCCCTGGCACTGGAAAAGGAAGAAGGGACAGAAGGAAGGGAGGGAAAGAGGGAGGAAAGAAAAGCCATACTTACGACAAAGGACAAAATGAAAAATAAACAAAATATAAAACATGCATTGTACAATCTCATTTTTGTAAAAGAAAAATATTTGCATTTAGAGAAAGAATTCAGATGCTATAGGGCTGGGGATTTAGCTCAGTGGTTCCACCGACTGCCTCACAAGCCCAAGGTCCAGAGTTCGATTCCCAGTACCCACCCAAAAAAAAGAATTCAGGTGCTATAGTAAACAGAGAACAACAATAACAACAACTCAAACCTCCTGAATGCCTCCTGCATTCTGGGCACCAATCCACTTCCTGCCCATTCAGGAACTCATCCTATCTTCACCGCTACTTTAAAGATGACACCACCGAGGTCCCCTGCAGAAAGGAGGACGGACAGCGATGACCACCTGTGACTCCCCAGGGCTGCAGCTGGGAAGCCAGGGAAACCCTCCTGCACTGGACTGGTGCTGAGAGTGACAGCTGCTTCCCCACAGCCCCGAGCTGGTGTACACGCTCAGGGCCACCCAGGACATGCAGGACAGGGCACCAGGACAGGGTTGCTGGGAACCATCTGCTTGTGGGACGACAGCCTTCTTCAGCAGCTCCTCTGGACTCCTTGGAGTTATTTCCACAGAATATCGCCCTCCTCTTTCTGAAAAGTCTGGCTAGGCCTTTCTAGTAGCCACTGACGTGCAATCAACTGCATAGCAAA